ATCTACGGAAATATATATCTATCATAGACAAATTATAATACGTCATGGACTCACGCGTTGACCTACAATCCTCATTTATCTTGTCGTTTATTCTTGTGGGAGTATCAGTATTCACGTTATCAGTCTCTTATATAAGATTGTTTGAAGCTAGTCTAGATTGAGTCTAGAACTGCCTACTTTTACACGTTCCCATTTTGCGATTCCCTTTTTAGAACACCCTGTACGTGATTCACGATAGCTTCGATGGGGTGCAAGCGGTAATATATTTATGTACCGCACACCCATGCGCGCGCATTCTGCACGACCGTACTCGATGCGGCAATGTGCGATTACAACAATCCTTGCGTCCGCATGCGAGCAAGCATACGCATATACTATATTATTATTTTCCGTAGCCCTACGCGAGGTCTTCTCGTCATAGGCCGCTTTACGTATCACGTATAACCAACGCGGAAATGGTTTCAATATTTCACGCGTTACGATAACTAATTTTCGGACACTAACATTTCGAAAGTAATAATTTTTCCTCGAAATCGCGGGAATCGATATGTGATACTTTTATGACGCTGCGGAATAACTAAAATAATTAAAACATGTGTCTTTAAAGTAAATTTTTGAAAATTTTTTACGTACAGAACGCGATATCGCTATAACGAAACAAATAACGCAACATGTGTCGACATATTCTTTTGTCTCGTTATCAGTTTAGAATGTTTTCCTGAGAACCTAGGAATAAAAAATCACCCCGCATGCTAACCTAACGAACCCCTAGCTACGGTATCGACTTTACATGTGCATGCACTCGGCGCATGTATAGGGTGGAGAACGTAATAGCCTGGGTCACGGTGACCCGGCGCGACTATTCCCGGGTTCACTTCAGTCTCAATGAGAAATCTAATATCGAATTAAACTTTGTAAATTGCTTGCCAATTTTCTTTATCTAGAGTAAAAAAAAATAAAATGTGCTATTGTCATCGACATTTCTCTGGGAAATTGTCTGCTCAGGTATTATTACTTTGCCTGATGTTACGTATGAACAACATGTTTTATAATGAAAATATATTATACAATATCTCAAAAATATTTGTAATAAAAGTAATCGGAAGATATCATGCGACTACTTGAAACAAACATAAAGTATGCGATGTTTCCCGGGTTAATATTCTTATTGACTGATTATTGGCAAAATACAATGTTTTCGCGATAATTAGCGCTTAAGAGCTGTGCCCCCAGTAGTACGATTGCATATCACTTAAATTGAAGCTATCGTCCAGTATTTTTTTTTTTATTTTTGTCTTGGTTTGGTGCAAACATATCTTTTTATAACGATAACAGTACAATTTTTGTAATGCTACGATATTTCACATCGCAGGCGAGACAACGCGTTGTAAATGCCGCGGTTATTTAAAAAAAAAAAAAATCTTATCACGTCACTGATAGATAATTACAATATGCGTATATTTAGGAACGTATTTATGGACGCAGAGAGAATAAATGTTCCAATAATATTTGTAACATGTAAACGTAAAAGATAAACGCAGGAATAGCCTGATACAATTATACGTTATAATTTGAATTCCCATTTTATCTTTATGATTCAACATAAATATTATCTAATGCCATTTATTTTTCACCAACGATTTTTGTTCGGCGTTATTTTCCGTAAATTTAGAACAATATCTTTCCACTGCAGAAACTTGATAAAGCAAAGACAATGCCAAGATAGCACAAAGCCCATAAATTTGGCTAAAATAAAGTGTTATATATATATGTTTGGTTGAAGTAAAGTTAAAAAAATATTGAATTCGAGAAAAAGTGGAAACGAGTATTCGAAAGTAGATGTCGGTAATCTCGTAATTTTGCTCGCGTTTTATGTCGCGAACGAGAATCAACTAACCGCGAATCGGAGTCAATTAGATTTAATGACCAGGAAAAAGACACCGTTCGAGCTGTATTAAATCCAATCGCTGCGAATTAACGCGTGAGTATGAAAGTTCTACAGATATCCATATTAGATAATCAAACTACGAAAAATCGACCGTTACAAATCGACCATGTTAAAATATCTCTTTCGTTTTAGCGTAAATTGATTATTTATTGCAAAAGTTTTTAATTTAAATCATTTATTGAAAAAATAAATGCTGCAATATATCCAGCAGTAAACATACTATAGCGGTGCTATTGTGATATTTTCTTTTTTTTGAAATCGATGACGAAGGAACTCACATAAGATCTCTAATCAGCTGACAATTCTAACGTCACACCGGTGTCTTCGATTCCCGATAAACAGTTCTGTTCTATTCGCGGCTTAACGCGAGTTCGTATACGTTCATGGCCGCGGCTCTAAAGCAACGACCGATTCATCTTTCGAGAGAGAGGGAGAGAGAGAGAAAAGAATATAGAAGACTTAACTTAATTTAATCTTGAAACTAATTTAATCTTCAATGGAATTCAATATCTCGAGATACTTTTCACGTAGAAAATTCTAATAAATTACGATTTCAACAAATGCATTTTCCAATGAAGAAAAACATGAGCCTTTTTTTGAAAGTGATATAAGTCCACTTTTTCTTATTTTGAAATATTTAATGTTTTACATTTTGCTCTATTTAAAAACATTATTAAACTCTTTTTTTTTCAAAGTTGAACTTATACCATTTAAAGAAAAAACGGCTCATATAACGATCCGTTATGATTTATTGCGCGTGTTCGTTTGAAAAATGTCCGTAATAACGCTGGCAATTCGGATCTGCCGTTGATAAAAGTTCGCTATCACCGGAGCTACCTTTCGCCCGTACACGTCGTAATTCAATTGACCGCAGATACGTCTGCCATAATTCAATGGACGTCTCATCTCGCATCCGCTTCGCGAGAGAGACGAGAGTACTTAATATAACGCGACGGCTGCGCGAGAGAAGCTTCCGCAGTAAACTCGCGCGGATGAACGGAATTAAAGCTGTCTCGGGTATTTTCTCGACGTAGAACGTCGTGACTTCGGGAAGTAGTCACCGACTATTTTTGCGGCTCGCGGAAAAGCGTCATACCGCCTAAGCGGCCTAGTTTCACGCTCTATGCAACGGGAACTCGGCGTTCTCGATGTCGCGTCGCCGGTGCAATTACTTGCGGTAAGGAGAATCAGATGTTTATCCTGTGGACAACAGAATCAGGTCGAACGGTTGATCACGAGACTCGTTAACAACGCAGGTCAAAGTTTCGCGCCGGCAGTCGGCATATATGATCTAACATGCAGTCGCGCGACTCTCTACCAATATCATATAACACGTCTGTTGCGACGTTCTATCTACATTCTGTTATATATCATATTCTATCTTATCATATATATCATATATACCTCATATTCTAAAACCAAATTAGCTATAACTTGTTCTCGTACCTCTCATTATCTTGTACTACGTTGGATTATCGTGATACGTAAACACAAAAAATATTAGACATGTCCGGAGATTAATCGTAATGAAATCGTAATTAACTGAAATCCAGTATTTTGCATAATTATCACTTCTACGGTCGTTAAAAAAGAATAGAGAAAGCATGAAAACAGTAGTAATTAACAAAATGTATATTCGTTAAATTATATTTACAGCAATTAAATATATATACTTTAGTCTTCATATTATTATACGAAACAAGACATTTGAAATTATTATATTTATTTATCCATATATTTGATCGATATTATTATCTATAGAAAAAGATAATTAGAGAAATTTATTAGATATTAAAGGCGCACGGTATAAGGTTTAAAAAAATTAAAAAAGAGGGCTAGATTTAATAAACAAGTAAGAATTTATCAGAGAAAGCGTGACTTACAAAAGTCCTGTTAATATTTAGATTCTTGTTCTTACGAAAAGTATTAGCTAATTCGATTGCTAGAGATCGTTCACGTCGACGATGCGTACCCATAATACATTGATTTCACGATAGATGTGATTTGTGGTCGAATCACGAGCGGTCTAGAAACTTGACTTACCGCAAGGGATATGCGTGCTGCTAAATCATAGCTCGCGCCTTGATCGCGCATCTACGCGCAATCGGGGAGAAAGAGAGAGAAACGAACACAGTAATGAAGCGAGTCGCAGTAATCTAACGGTACAAAACAAAGAAGTGAATAAAAGAAAGTATAAAATAGGACAACACGCATATTACCAAGCCTAACTAAACTCTGGGAAATTAATAACGGGACGAGAGCAGAGACGTATTTTTATCAAAAAATAGCATCGCGTGCAGTTTTCTTCATCTTTTCATCACGACGAAGACTTATGAGATGTTTACAAAAACAAGATACAGCGTGTTAAGTATAATAACAGCGTTATCGTTTTCTATTTACCGCAAGTAATCAGCGCCCGATACTTTAGTAACGATATCACTTCCGATTTCTTTCTCTTCGAGTCGATATAACGAAAATCTTTACTAATGCCCTTTCGACACGACTTTTCGTTAAAAAATTGCGCAATATCAACAATAAAATCTTGGATTTTTCGATATAAGTCTAGCCTCTAGCTAGATAGATCGAAATCTATCACTTCCTTCATTATTAAAATTAAGCGAAGAATCGGTCAGTACTTTGCTCGTGCATTGCTATCGGGCATTTCAAACGGAAGTGACGAATTTATCGTGTTAGGAGAACTGGTTCGGTTGCGAGATAAACGCTGGTTTACATATAAACGATAATTTATTCGTTAACTTTCGAACTAATAATGTTATAAAAACACGATGAATTACATCATTAATAATAAAAATATTCTTTATTGCATTTCGTATAAGACCAAGAAATATTATTGCTAATAATATTTTTCTTATCAAATATCTCAGCGAGATAGATTATCTTCTGTTGACTAATTACATATCGATTCATGTGTATCTAAATATAAATAATTACGCAAGCTGAGACGTTAGTATACGATTACGAAATCATCTATATATTTCGTCCCCATATAATAAAAATTTGAAATGAAAAAAAAAAGAAGCTCACTACTTACCGGAACCGTAATCTATACTCGGTGTGGGCGGTAAGCTGCTCTCAATGGCGGCCTTGCTAAATAGATAGATCGGATTCGTGTCGGTTCCAGCTGAGTAGGAACACACGCGTGCAGTCGGTTCCAGGCACTCGCCTCCGCTCATGAGCAGCACCTGATGAGCCGCTACCACGCCACAGTCCCTCTCAATCGCCTCCATCAGCTGACTGACACTGAACAGAAAAGTTAATTTAATTAAACTGTTAAATGTTATTGATAACAGCAATATTTAGATGCATTATGCAAGAGTTTCCGTCGCTCGTGTTTAGATAGATTAAACACAAAAAAAAAAACTTTTATCGTGGTATCTTTTGCGTGAAAGATGGCAAAATGTATAGTAAATAATACTGATAAAAATACTTTAACTAAAAATATTATATCATTTATAAAATATCAACTCAAGAAAATTGCCTTAAAACGATGGAAACCTTTGCACTAATATATTTAGATAACAAACATTCTTTGTCTAAAACTTTTTTTTTCAATTCTAGAACCGTACATCGAGATTACTTTATCCGATGTACAGTTCTAATCTAATTTATAATACTTTAAAAATGCTTTGGTTACATACAATGATTATTGAAATGTGCAGAAAAAGTTAGAAATAAAATCAAATTTTTGCAGATTTCTAAATGCATTGCAAATAGAAAAAGTAAATATACTTTTAAGATATAAATCGTTACAGTACATAAGTACAGTTTATAGGTTACATTACGGCTTAATGCAGTTGTATTACGTATAAAATATCTCTTCTCGATTCTTTACATCGAAGCTCGGAAAATCTCTTCCGCTTCAGTAAATCAAGGGCGATATCACGCCTTTAGGCAAGAAAGAAGCAACGCTCGGTTCGAAGACGGTTAGGCTTATATGACCTGATTTCCATAAGGAGTTCATACTGCGATCGTAATTGCCGGATGATGCGTTTCCATCGCCGGATGCAGCAGCAAAGAGATAACGAGAAAAGAAAAGCAACAGAATAGATAGAATTATGACAGCCATAATAATGCTACGCGATAAATACGCTCAAAAATCGGAATTTCGTTTGTTCTGATGAGAGGATTTAACTCTGAAAGCGGATAGATATATCGTTCGGTTTTATTTCTAGAATTGACACGTGCTTGGAAAAAAATTTGCATGCGAATAATTAAACTGCCACCACTCTATCAATCATGTGCAGTGCGAGTGCACCGATGCAAAAAACAACAAAAGGTGGGCGAGAAAAATGAGAAAAAACTCACTTGATTACGTAGCATGTGGAACCTTGCGTAATCGCGTATATATTGCATATAAAGTTGTTTTCTTATTATCACAATATTTTCAATTTTCAACGTTCAACTTTCAATATATCTTTTTTTATTTCTTAATTGCTAAATTACCATCATTCAACGCATTCTGCAATCGTAATCAATAAGTCTTTACGATGCTTTAAGAAAATTTAAATCCTCGGTCTCTTTGAATACTGCGATCATAAATGACACTTAAAAGGAATCGGAATGGCATGCCAATGTCGTTAAAACCTTGAGCAAAATTAATTAAACAGTGTTCTTTGTCCGAAGAGCAAGATGCGCGGAGTATTAATTTAAAAAAAAAAAGTATATTTCAATGCCAACATTATTAAAATTATTACATAATCGTCATGTTCTTATAAATGCTGCGACAATTATCTGTTTTACTTTACGAGTCGTAAGATACCCGCAAGCTATGCAAAGTGTTTTCCGAAGATCGATATCCTTGACGTTATTTTTCACACAATTTACTATCGATTTTTCTTAACGCTAACAAAATCAGCGAGATATTATTTAGCAAACAATTTAATGTTGAAATTAAAGATTCCGAATGAAGCTTTCACAGCGTTGATCAAAAGCGCTTCGCGTTAGAAGCGTACGAGAGTGGAATATTGCCAGTCATTTATGATCGCGTTATAACTGACAATGAGTATAGCACGTTCGGCTACATCTCGAGACTGCATGTCGACAGTGGCACGCGTCACCATGCGGCTCATATTTCATACACACACACGCGACACTTGTTATCGCGACTTCGTTAAGATATCTATTCACTTGAGAATATCTTCTTTTACATTTCGAGATTAGAATTTCCATGCAAATCATTAATTCTTAAAAAATTAGGTTTTCCAATTTTAAAATAACTTTCTCGTAAAAAGAGTTTTGTATATATATAGAAAAGAAATTTTATTTCACATTTTTCATTTATTTTTGCATATAGAATCACCTTTATATCGTCTTTATAGGAGAGAATAAAACGATTCGATCAACTATTAATAGATAACATGTATTATTCATAATTTTAGATAACAGTGAGAAAAACTGCTTAAAGTGCATTGTTTTTCGAAAGATCTGTAATAAAATGCATATGTTGACATAGAATTGTGTTGTAAAAAATTGTCAGCGCATGATTTTTCGCAGATATTTTTATCGATGACTATGTAAACAAAGCGCAAGTAAACAAATGAAACATACGCGATGTGTTGTCGATGTTGACTGCAACGGGATTGCCTAGTTTTGCGTTTAATCGTGACGCTGCAATTAGGCCGCAGCGTATTTATTCATTCACGCTTAACCGCGCAGCCGCGATTACTAAGCAAGCGTAGAGAATAAAAGCAAATCGGGGCGATGGCAAATTGACACAGATTGTTAATTATCACGACGACGAGCAATGATCGTCTTTGTGGTCGTTATCTTAATTCACAAATATCGATATGCGAGAGAGCATTCTGATAAAAACGGGAAAAAATCATGGTACAAAGTGAGATAAAACACATACATGCGCGCTAGATGCGATAGATATAATCCAAACGCGACGTTGCGTTCAGTAATTTGAATTACAGAAACTGTATTGTACTATAATTACACGTGTTCTCTCATCCATCTTCAAACGTCATCAGCAATTTTTTGCTCAATTGATTCTCTGACGTCACGTCACTTGAACATGAAGAGAGAGCCTTGTAGTCCATCGCTCTCCCTTAAAACGCTGCCTATTAAGAGAGCTTGGCCGAGTACGATGCGATTCAGCACGCGTGACACAATACATGTAGAGCGGCCGATGTGTCGCGAGCCAATATATTTTCAGTGCGCGCGTCACAGCTGTATTCTTGTATTCCTTAAAAGCGTCGCGTCCGTAAAAGTGCGCAGTACGATGCGAAAATGCGCTTCCGACGCATTTAATGCGAAGTGATCACACGACGCGTAGAAACTATTATTTTTCCCACTTGGTGAGATTTCGCTGCTGATCTTAATCAGCGATAAATGGAATAATTTTTTTACGAAGTCTTATGGAATAGTTTTTCTTTTTCGAAAACGAGTATAAGTAGAACATTCCGATCTGTTTCTCCGCGATTTCCCTGAAAGTTTAATTTGTTCCTTTTCAATTTTAACTGTAATTAATGTTTTTTTGCGAAAATTTATTAACGAAAAGTCAACTCATATATTATCATTAAAATCAAGATAAATTGCGAAACGCTACACGAGAATCGAAGAAAAGATAAATGTTCGATCAGGCTAGCAGAAGTATCGAAAGAACGGCGTTCATTGCATCATGCGCGCGCGTCGTACGCATCGGGAGAGAGCTTGGCCGAGTTTACCATCAGGTCAAACTCGTGCGCGACACGAGCCAACCCACACCCACGTGCGCTGCATCGCGTCGATTTCGTCGTATATTATTTTCGGTGTAAGTTTGCAGCGCGAAACGATGTCGCGCATCTAGGAAAGTTTCTGCTCGCAATTCGAAAAGGCTTTCAACGCATGCACGCACACAATCTCACGCGACGGATCCCGCCCACGTCCGCTGCTGCAGCAACTCTTTTTGCAATTCGTTAACCTTCGGCGGATCCTTGGATTCGTACGAGTCGCGTCGATTCGCGCTATTAGAGCTCGCTAAATGCCGAGCGCTAATCACTCCGTTAATACGCGCAAACAGCGAATTCCGTCGATATCAAGCAATTACGCTTCTTATATAATTTGAGTAAATGTTTTATGAGAAATTCTGATATTCACACCTTTCATCACACTTATTTCTCGAATACTTCTAAGCATCGAACACGATATTCAATTATTACGACTCAAGATATTCAATTATGAAGAAACGTGAACAAAAAGTAAAGTATACGAAACCACGTTGGACTCAATATTTCTCGAAGTTTCCATCGAGGCAATTTTTTTAGATCTAATATTTTATAAATTCTGATATTAAAATTTTATATTCTCAATATATAATAATAACGTGCTACTTGAGAAATAAATATTCTGAATTATTCCGTATTTAACGAAAAATCGTTTCTTCTTTTTTGCAATTTACCGTTATTTAGACAACGAAAAATAATTATGTAAAGTCATTACCTTTGTAAAGCCAGCTTGATGTCGAAAGTGATAGTGGTGCCGGTATCAACGTGAAATATGTAAAGCATCTTGAAGCCGGTGATACGCCGGTGGCGATAACCAAAGTGAAACTGCTAGGGGTAGCCCCGGAATATTTGCCGTCGCGGACCCTTCTTTCCGCAGGCCCCGTTAGCAGCAGGGGGCCCTCGGCCCCGACGGTTCCCCTCAGTCAGCTCGATCGGGGCCGTACCCCACGTTCTCGGTCGTTCGCGAGGACGGCCCCCTCAAGACTATGCAGCATCGATTAACGCGATCCTCGACGTCGATCCCGAGACGAGGCCCCGCTAGACGTCAATCGCGTCACGTCGCAGAATACCATTCAGGATGCGTTAAAAGCAGACTGCTTCAAAATAGAAGGGATTTACCTGACCATCGAGTCTCCTCGATACCTGAAACTTCCTTTGTTCTTTCTTGCAACTGCGAGAAAGTTCCGGTTAAGGCGAGTTTCGCTCTCCGCACGATCGAGCGCTCACCCACTTGAATATTCACTCCCGCTTCTGTGGGGATGAGCGACGTCGGTCGATCGTCGTATCTTATGTCATAACGCGATTCTCCGATGCCAATGCCGCTCCCGGTGTGGTTTACGTCACCGCATACGTTCTAGCGTTGAAGTAAATGTAAACGGAAGAAACATTTAATGTCATCATTTGTCTCCAAAATTTTTCGAAACCTTTCGAGGAGAAAGCGATCCTTCCGTGGAAAAGAGAATCCGATGATTCCTCCGACAAACTTGAGCGTGATTTCCGTCAACAGTCCGATATCACGAAAATCGATTTCGTTTCCACTCCCTCGACGTCGAACCTCACGGAAATCCGTCTGACGACGCGTAACGACGGCAATCGATTAGGCAACGGGATCAACCGCTGCTCGACCGCTGGTGTGTGTTTTGACGTCGAATCAATCGGATCCGGGGTTCCTGGAGACGCGACGACGCTTTCGGAACGCCTCGAACGCAGCGTCGGATAGGGCGGGCAAAAGCTTCTCCGGATTCACGAGAACACACCGGCACGCGTGTTACGAGCAAGAGCGAACGGCCGATTTCGCTGCCAACACGTCTCGTTTATCGTCGCGTAGCTGTTCTCAGATCAGCTGCTCGGCAAAACAAAGCACTCGCGCACCGCGTTACGCCACCGCGTCCGTCGCGCTCTCTCGCTCTCTGTCTCTTTCCCGTTCGCTTCTCAAGCGACACTGTTGTTTCACAGCGGTCACGACGTCGTATTACGAGAATCTGTACAATCCTCAGAATTTTAACTTATCGTTAGTATGCCAGTCTCGAAGAAGGGACGAGGAGAGCACCGAACCAACGGCGCCGCACAACACAAACAATGCTGCGCCGCATGCACTACTAGTCTATGCGCAGAGTCGTCGCAAAGAACAAAGAGACTCCGCTTTCCCCGCAGCTTTTCCACAGCGACGCCACTCGTTCGGCTTCCTCGTCGATTCGTGGACGAGTGACACGTATACTCGGACACGCGCCGACTCGAGTTAACGACGAAAAAGCGCTGAAAGCTGGCTGGACAGCGACCGAGAACGCGTCGATCGCCAAGATATAATCGGTTGGGAGGGGAGGGAAGGAGAGACGAGGGACTAGTTCCGCGCAGTCCCGTTCAACGTTTCACACTGACGCCAGCTGTTTATTGCTGAGCGACGGAGCCGACGCAGCCGAGCAGCCGCACGGCGGACAGAACGTCCGAACAATCATCGAGGCTGGTGGGGAAAGAGATTCCAGTTGCCGCCGTACGACCCATAGCGCTCGACATCCTCTATTCGTTGTCAGATGCCAAGATCTATGGACTTTAACCTACCGACGGCAACTTTTCGGGGACAAAAATAAAAAAATACCTCTTTTTTTCTGCTCGGTTTTCTCATTTTTTAAACCATGCATACAATGAAGAAAATATTACCAATAGGAATAATTTTACATATTTGTATCTCATGCATTCATAATCAGATATCACAACTGTATGTGTTATATTTTATGTTTAACATTTCGTCATTTTTGTTTCTAATTCCTATTCCCAATTAGTTTTTTTTTTTTTTTTCTATTTTACGCACGGCTTTATTTTGATAGCAAAATAAAAATATACAAGAAAAATGGAGAAAAATCTGAATTTGAAGCATAATAGATTAAGATTTTATTCTCTCTTTCTACTTCAGTTGATTTGAAGTTCAATTTAAAAATTGAATTTTATTTATATTTAAAATTATGTTTTCAGAAATATTTTAAGAATATATATAAAAAAGCATGAAGAATTGATTAATTTTATTTAATTTAATGATGAAAATGGCCCAAAGTTACAATTTCGTGTAAAGGACTAAAATTTTGATAACATTTGAAATATTTCCGAAAATATAATCACCCAGGCACAACACGTATGTCTTAAAAACATGTAAAAATGTCTGAAAAAATGCCGTCTTTCAGATATCTTTCAGACACGTGTTGTTTGAATAGTTATCTAAATTACAGGAAACTATTAGACGGTAATTAAACTTGCTATTAGCGTAGCTAACATATCTAAACAATTCATCAGTATATTTGCGCTATAGTATTGCGTTAAACATCGACACTGCAAGTCGATGCCAGCGAACGCATGCGTCGTTCTTTTGTTGCGTTGCTAATAAATATGCCTGAAAACACTAATGCTGGCTGACCAACCAATTTAAATAGTTAATTTTTCCTCTTTTATAATATATTTATGCTATATATATCACAGACGCTCTCTGAGATCGATAGAGATGATCTAATTAGATGAATTGTATTCTCCGCGCATTTTAATATACCTAAAGTTCATAGCATTTGCGCCAATTTTGAACGCGCAATTCTGTACGTGCTTGATTCAGCCTGACAGCACTGCTTCAGCTGTTCGATCGTTCTGTCACGTTTGCGCGACCTCGAGACGCAACTGTCTTTGTTCTTTCTACACTTCGTGACGCTACAACAAAGCGTACGCCGAAGCGTGCGATGAATGGAAGATATCGTCAAGACTTTCGAACGAGCTCAACCAGCGGAGACTGCTCGTTGCGTTTGTTTACTCTCCGCCACGCGGATCGATATCTGCACATCCCGTATCCATGAGAAATACTCTCCCCCTCTTTCCCGCCTGCGCGATACCTACGAACACGAGGATTCCTCGAGATCCGAAAATATCGTTACTTCCGAAAATAACGCGATTGCCAACAGAATCTGTAATCGCTCGCGCATATTGCGAGGTTCGACGACATGTTCGGAGCAAAGATGACGATGCTGTTACGTTTATGGCGACAGCGAATTTAGCAACATTTTCTAGAACTAGAAAGTAAAAAGCGCGACGCACAAGAAATATACGCGGATTATGTCAATTCTACTTCGTCGTGACGTCGAATGATGCAATAAACAAGAAACGAGCGATCAGCTCTTCGTATTATTTTTATGATGGCCAATTTATCTGACTTAGACTTTGTTTCTATCAAACTTTAAGAAGCTAAAGTACTTATTACATTTTTATCAAACTGAATGAGATATTGTATTACGAAACTTTTGTCTTTTTTACTAAACGCTATTCAAGGACAATTGGAAGTAAAAGCAAACTTCACGAAATACCGTTAAGTCGACCCAAAAAATTCGGCAATTGCCGCATCTTTGCGATGCGCACGACGATGCCCGTGATTCACAGATAATTAGAATACAATGGCAAGTCTAGACATATTGAATTTTAATTCGAATGCGTAAGCGCGTTTACTGCGTCGCGAATAGTTCGACGCAGTAAAGGCCGATCTTGGCATCGTAATTGCACGTGGCAGCTGATAAGGATGTCGTGCTCGTGCTAAATATGAGGCACGAGGAAAGCTCTGCGTATAATAATACGCAATCCTATGCTACAGATATCGAACGCGAAATACATTCCGAAAATATACAAATATTATATCAATTCACACGTAGTGCTGTTGTGAATGTCAATTGTAAATACGCATTGGAGATAATTTCAGAAAGATTTATACACAAAGGAGATAATATTTCGGTATTAGTCATGTGATATCGCCCGTCAAGAATCGCCAATACTTTAAAGTTGCGCGTCGGGTTCGGATATACCCACATTGATGCGTATATCGCGTACGTCACCGATCGGCGTTTTGCCGAATTCTTCGAAATACGTGTCAGTCGTTACCCTCGTGATACCGCTTACTACGTCGGAACAGATAAGCGCGATCGTGGCAGAACGCGCGAATTTAATTTCGCGTAAATGAATTAAATGATGATCCCCCAGAGCCGTGCCAATTTCAATCAATTTGTCCTCGAACAAGACCACACGGTCATCGTCGATCATTAATGATCATCTCCTCTTTGTAGAAATGCATTCGCTGAAGCGGAGCTTCTTCTTGCTCAGGCGCAGCAATTTCCTAGAATAAAAAATCATATTAATCGATATAAAAGCTTTTAACACAGTTTAAAGAGACAGCTTTCGTCGCGTTTGCCAACTCTTTTGTTCTACTTTCGTCGTCTATATATTATTAATTTGAATACATTTTGTGAATTTTCTGTTTGTCTTGAACTCAATCTTTTTCTTCTCTGATTGCTTCTTATCAAACTGAAGAGGACTCGAAAATTAGGCTAAAATCTCTTTTTATTTTGTTTTAATTAATATCTTTTGCATCTTGACATCCGCGTTTTTTTATTCACTTCTTTTTTGTTGTTTTTTTATTAATTTTATCAACGTTTAGAGATAGTGTGTTAATCAATGCAAGTAGACATATTGATTAATATACTATCTCTAAACGTTGACAAAATTAATAAAAAAAAGAATAATAAAGAGAAAACTGTGAACTATCTACACACTCAATTCTAATGAAACGACACGTTTTGTCATCTCTGACGAATTCTCGCGATCGTATGATTGATAACGATGGAACGGCTTGTACGGAGTAAATATTAACTTTTCTGACGCAATCATACGCTCTCAAGTGAGATTCTGTGATAGATAGATGAAAGAGATATGATATCTTTCCGAAATTTATCTTTTTCCTGCATGCCAAACAAAATATACGTGGTAACGAATGTATATATACTATTAGCACCGTAATAAAAAACAAGGAGAATGATTATTTCAAGAATCAATAAATAGATTTAGTCATAGTAAAATTGTAAAACTTGTTTAGACCTAATGCTGATAAAACCAAGTTTCAATTTTCAAATAGACTAGATACTTCAAAAATCAAGGAAATACTCGTATGTTGGTTGCTGCATTTTTTCGTCATTTATTTATATTAAACAGTTTGACCAAATGTTTTCTATATTTTGATTTTATTACTTTGCTTGTTTATGTTTTTGCGTAATGTTGTAAAATTTATATTTTTTGATCTGTCGACGATTTTGCAATTTTTTTCATACGTTCTTGATCTTAGAATGCAAAAATATGTACCTTTTTTATACTTGGGCGACGCGTTTTTATTCATTCGGATATCTGTGAGTCATTTAGGCATTTTATTTAAATGTCAGAAAAAGTCAGTTGTGATTTCTACTAGACTCAGGATCTATACATATTAAATAGAAAGGTATCAGCTCAATTTATTGTCATGGTTTATTCTTTAAAAAAATTCCAAGTCTGAATAAGGTTAAAATACCTGGAATAATACATAAGACAAAGAAACAAAACGAAAACCAGAGACAAATCTGTTGATCCTTTGTTTCTTCTGCTTTATCGTAAGCGCGCGTAATGACGAAATGACAAAGAGAGAAATCTAACATAAGCGTACGAATCGCACGTGGAAGAGTCGCACGATTAATTCACTCGTCGAGAGAAAGGATGATCGAGAGTAAAGAGTGCGCACGGATGACGGAGAGAGCGTTTCTGCGTCTCTCTCTCCGCTCGTGGAAATGAAAGCAGCTCTCGAGGCAGCGACGCGATTGTATACACAGCATACATGAGGTTTCCTTATGCTCTGGCTCTATCTTCTCTCTCACTTTTCTCTCCCCCCCTCCTCCCCACCCCTTTCCTCACTCTGTCGTTCTTTTCTTCCCCTCCCAAACGAAGGTCTCAACTCACAATCAGTCAGCTGTGTAGCACGCGAGTCGCGGGAGAATCATGCAGGAGGTGCGTGAACAGAGCGAGGTCAGCTTACGCACGTGTGTATCGTGCGTGGCGCTCACAATATGCATATACGATCTAGGCCCATTTGATCATTGGCGTATGTGTCATTGTATATAGTTGCAAATTTATTACCGCCCTGAATCCTACAATTGGGTATAATTATATCAAAAGAAGTTAATTTTAGAACACAGTTTTTCGAAGTTTTCGAAACTACGATTATTAAAAAGAATTTCACGCTACTGTTAATCTTAAAGTAAAATAAGTGTCGTTTGACACACCGTAACAATTGCTTTTTTATTGTTAAGATTCTTCATTAATTTTGAAAACAGTTTGAGTCGTTGAGGTATCAAAAACATTTTCTTATTATACTCGAAAAATTCTACAATCACAAAAAAGATTTACATTGTAAGAGTAAATGTTTGGGAAAATATTTTGTTACATAATGAAAAAAATATTTTTTAACATGTACTAAAGTCAAAATATTTCTCAAAATAAAAATATATAATTTAACCCATTTTTAGATTGGACAAGCTGTGTTGCTACCCTTCGTACTTTAGGATAACAATGGATTTAGTAAAAGGTCGATGACCGACTCACATGGCATTTTCTCGAGACGGGATACAAACGCGATCGATACCGAGGTTGATGACCCAGAAAATGCTGGATAATTTTACAATACAAACGCTATTATACGAATGAGATACGAGCGAAAAATCAAAGCGAATCAATAACGAACGAAATAATATCCTTATCGTGTAACGATGCAATTACAAAAAGAATGATAGAATTTTACAATGCTTTGACCATCGCCTGAACATTCTTCTTAGCGAAAATAATTTACTCTTATCTTATTGTTAGCCTTTTTTTCTAATTTTATCATTTGCATATTACGCCACTGATTAGTAGCATTATAAACGAAGTCCTATTCTTGTTGGGTTATCGGCCGCGTTGTATATCGTTTATTCGCGCGGTGTCGGCGGTGTGTAAGCGATATAGTGACGATATAGCATAGCGGAAAAAAATCGAGGGAGATAAGAGATAAGGAGCGATGTGTCGCACGCATAATGCGTCGCGCGGAAAGTACATTGCGCTCAATTCCACTTTCGAGCTCGCATTTCTTCGAATTGCGATTACATTTTGATAAGATTTCGAATTGCGTTCCTAGACGACCTCGCGAGCCACTGGGCCAAATATTTAACGAGCGGCGCGAACGAGAGTATGGAAATTATCTTAGGCGACCTCAATCCCCATCTCATCTGCGCATTAAGCGGCTGCGAGCAATCTATTCGGGCTAAATCGAATAAAGGATGAAGAAAAAATGAAGAAGAGACAGTTGAAGAAGTACAAATTTCCGGTGAATTCTTCGTTTATGTTTCTCGTTTTGTTTCGATAAATTTTTCCATTTTTAATATATAAATGAAAACTATATAATTTTTTTATATAAACACTTCAAAGAAATAATTTTCAAAATTTCTAAAACAGTGAAAAATGAGTTTATCTCATAAACTCTAATAAAATGTAGACCGATTCTTCGACCGAGCGATAGTATTCGCGTTCACGAATGTCGGTGAGCAAAGATCGCCTAAAATTAGAAACCGCTTGTTGTCGTTGCGTAGACGTTTTAGCTAAGACGACGTCGAGTATTAACAAAACCGATTGTAATCGGTTCTCTTCCATATGTCTCGTCACAATTATTGCACTGTTTAATAGGTGACGTGACTGCGGTACTCGTTCTCTCCACTTGTTAAACGGTTAGTTAGAGTGCGCTCTTTATTTCGCCATTATCACCTGCTCACCGATCACACGTCATGATAAAGCGACCTGTCGAACGGCTGACTCTACGAACCGCAGGCACGAATTGCAGATACCACTCGAGGCCACTCGCCTTCTTTGTTAGCCGCGACGATACATCCGATACGAACCATCGCTTCGCTTTCTGAACGCCAATTAGCATTCATTTCTGACTCATTTCTGTCAGCTGTTAATTTGCAAATATTTTTTCAAAATTTTCTCGCGAATCGTGCATCGTGGCGTTGTCGAGTACATTCGATCTTCCGCGTAAATATTAGAGACTACTTACCAACTTGTTTTTTTACCGATAATTTACTTGCGGTCGACAATGCTTCATTAAAACTATTTTTCATAAATGAAAATGCTTATACATACAACGACATATGCTCATGAAAAATGATTAGCGTTCATCGGTCGACCGTGTTCCGTTTGACATTCGCTGCTCGAATGACGTTGACACCGGTAATAGACGGCGTGTATTAGAGACGCAGTCTCGTTTTACGCATGACGCAACAACGCTACCGCGCAAAAAGCGACGGCACGTGTATGTTCATGCAACGGAGGGATGGCACCGCTGCGCTCTTCGATTTATTCTCGATTTATTCTCTTTGCTATGCTGATCCTCATTGTACAACTTGCGACTGACTCGACTTCAACTAATAGAAGAAATTTCCACTTTTAACACTGCTCCTTAAGATTTTCTAACACATTTAATAAAAACGTACACCGTGAATTCGCTATAATCGTTTTTACTGAGATTAAATACATTGCCAGCGTTTACATGGAACACTGAGATCACTTCCGGTATCTATTTACCATATGTATACATATGGCGAGCCAGTGATGGTATTAATGTTGAAAAATATGATTTTAAAGTCGCAATCGGGATTTGTTTACGATTCAATAATGGCTCTGGTAGCTACGTAGATTCGAAGCTCCCGAGATTTGTCGTAAACACACGACATATACGTGCAGAAAGATGTTTATTTTAATTGACGCGATTAGCACGCTTGCAATGTTTACTGCGTGAATTATCGCTCGATTTTGTTGTGATTTTATTCTGTATATATGCAAAAAGAAAAAAGAAAAAACTGCATGTGTGTATTTGCGTTGTGTACACAGGAATAATGGAAACTACCACCTCGCGCGTGAGTTTTCCTCTCTTTAGTTGTACGATAAATCGTCATGCCACTAACGCGATTAACGGCAATCATTCGTTTCATTCACGTTCTTTTCTTTCTGCGACGCGGATAACGGTCGCACGGCAAGGGCGTAACAAAGCGAAATATTGTGATATCAGTAAGAGAACCGTTTATCAGTTATGATACAAGTTTATTGAATCACTTTGCGCAAATTAATAATGATAATGGATTTGCAGTTCTGATGTCGCATATTTTCCAAGGTACCAAAATTACATCCACATCCGTATTTCATTTCGAGTATTCACATAATCTGCGATATGATAATAATAGTAATAATAATCGTAATAATAATAATAATATAATAATAATAATCGAAATAATAATAATAATAATAACGGGATATGCGCGCGTCAACTGTGATAATAGTCAAGAGATAACAAGTAAAATATATATATATATATATGATCTTATGTATGCATATAGGTATATACATATTATGATGTAACATCGTAAATCGCGAAACCAATTCCCGCATTCGATAAATAAAAGTGTCGTAAAATTTCTTTGATTAGTGATATGGTGACAAAACTGACTCCCGCCTCTCTTCGCTCTTCACTCCAATCTCTTCCTCTTCTCGATACTTTACCAATATTCAATATCAAATTTTCATCTCTTTGATACTAACTAATCGATTTTATATATATATAGTTGCAATATATATACAATACATGACCTCGCAACGGCGGATGTGCGTACGATAATAGGTAGTATATCTATGCGAATGCACCTCGTGACAAAAAGCCGTCGGTCCTTCTCCGGAACGTTTAACATATTTCGTGCCTACGCTCGTCACTTCTTCTACGTAATCTTCTCCTTAATGTAAAAATATTCGCATTTGTTTTTCAATTACACTGGGTTTACGTATGACATTTCAATCTGACATGTTTCTCTTAATTGAGTGTCTTTTTTTTATAACATAATATATCAAAAAAAATTTTTCAATTAAAATTACAATTGTATTTATTACTGTCAAGTCGACGCAAGTCAAATAGATGGCAAACGCAAATCCAGCATTACGAATCTGATAATCCTGTGAACGAGTTCGTTCGATTTGTTTTTTTGTTCGTTAATTATTTCTCTCTTGTGCTGTTCGCAGTTTTACTGCGAATAGCGTCGAAACGATTGTCTCGATCGAATATTTTATTTTACCATCGAATCATTTCGCGTCGCGTGCTCGAACCAGGCTTAAAGTGTAATCAAATGCGAATGCGTTTTTGACTGTGTCGTAAATCGAATTTACTCACGCGGAAGTATACTGGTTATGTCATTGGCACTGTCGAAACAGGATAGGAAGCTTACAGGTTTTGCTGTGTGAAACAAAGCGAGATCTCTTGAATGAAAAAACGATCTCGACAATTCGGTCTTCGCTTTTTTCCGCCCAACTTGCATCGAGAGCGCGAAAACGGTATCGCGTAGTATAGACAAACTCTGCGCAATCGACGTTTCAATGATTATTTACAAATTTACCTAGAGATATACAAGCTATGCCCTTGAGACTAGAAAAATTCGATCGCTCGTGCGCAGAAAAGCTGATCGATTTATCACGAAATTGTGGGAGAGGAAACACGAGATACGAGACAGCTCTCTCGCGTTTGTATTGTATTTTAAAACACGACATTGTAGATTTTTGATTGTAGATGGATCCAAGCACTTATCTTTCGAACACTACTGTTACTGATAATTCTTTTCTTCTGAAGTGTCTATGTTGCGATCTTGTCAAAAACTAAAATCGTATTAAGTTGTCGTTTTTAGTTACGTCTCTAATTTTGATGCTTGAGAGATACTTCTACAAAAATCGTTGCTTACACATACAAAGATTGCGATTTTACATCTTGATAAGTGATGTTATCGCGATTGTATGTGACTCGATTACATGAGTCATCTGCATTTTAACGTTAATATAATATTTATCAATGTAAAGTATCAATGTAAAACAACTTTTTACGCTGACATTTAGAATCGCGTAATTTTCGGTCTCTCACAAAAGCGAAGCCGTGTCTGTAGCGAAAACTTCTGTATCTTAACTTGTGCGCGTCTTAGCGTCGAATGTAGACCATTTTTTGACTATCGGCTCGTCAGAGGGCTCCATAATTGAGACGATGCGATAAAGGATTCAAATCTCAGTTGTCGATATCCAACGATAGTAATTATAACTATAATATTACGCGGAGCTTGTAAAAGTTAGAGGACTACGAACATTCTACGTCTTTCCTTTACAATAATCTTACGCTTTTTACAAGTTTACTGCAATTGTTCGGAAACAATACTATAAATGCTCGGATGCGCGTTAATTGTTGCGCGAATTGTCCTACCTTTTACATCGCGCGTCGGCATCACGGCTACAATTACGATCATTGCTACTTTACAATCACTACGTTTATAGAAACAGTTGCAAATATAATTCAACGTTGAATACTGCTTTAAATCGAACAGTGTCAGCCTTAATACTTGGGAATTATTTGAAAGAATTCACGGCGCAAGTAATTAATTTGTGCAAAGTCTATTAGATGAAAATTCGATCGTCGCTGTTACTGCGCTCGAGCTAATCATCAGGAAAGAAAAAATTATGACTAATGAAGGATTCGTATGTGCGCACCGCGTCGGGTACGATCGACTGCTCGGGGGTATCCTCGATCTACCTTTACAAGAAGTATTATTAAAGTATTTGGTGTAAAAATAGGTATGATACACAGGCGTGTTGGGAGTACGCAACGCGCTCCCTTTTTCCAAAAGATATCTTTTTCCTGCGCACAGGACAAACTGCGCTCGGAAGTTTCATCGCTTGTTTCTTTTTCAAAAATTTTGTAAATATTAATATGAATTAAAAAGAACTTAAGCGCCGCGTTTTCGAACCACAGAAAACTTCATAGGCAAATTGAAATCTTGTTTTCACCGTGTGAGCTCTGCGAAAACGCATTGAAACTCTGTCGAACTATATTGTTCGTATTTTTTTTCGTACGCTTAAGCCCTTTTTAATTTACAACATTCAAAAGTGAATCTTATAGATCTTATAGATCCTCTCCAAAAGAATATTCTTGTCTCAGTGTTGCTCCCTTTGCGTTGCTCGTTTATCCTCGCGATCATTCGAAACTCGACTACAATCGTTTTCACGCGACAAAATCCTCGCCAAAGTCGATCTCTTTCGGGTTCTCTTTTCACGTCGGCTCCGATCTAAAATTTTCGCCTTCGCAAAACGCTCGCGACGCGTAAGACCGAGTGAATCGCTCAGGAAAGTCGCTTTCAGCGATTCTTGGTACGGCCACATTCTTCGTCGCGCCGTATCGAAATTCTGGCTCGATGGCGACCCAAGGCGTCGCGATGCCGCCGTAGGTCTCAGGTCACGTCCACTACGAGTCCGTGAACCCGATCGTCGGCTGGTTGCTACGTCAGCAGCTTAAAGAACATCAAAGCTAGGGATATGTTGATGAAGAGCACCAGCATCACGAGCTGTTGCCGGGAGAACCAGTCCTGGAAATATAAAACATTATATTAAATGTTTTTTTCTCGAGTGCAGCTTAATCGCGTCATCGATGATGCCACTCGGAGTTAGAGCCAAGGATTCAACGAGGACGCGAATGATTCATATCGACGATTTATATATGAAAGTGTTTTTGCACGCGATGGTATTACGGTAGTTTAACGTATCGAGAAATTATCGAGCGGATGTTGATTTTGAAACTTTGCGCGAAAGTTGATCTTTCCGTAGTGCGTTGTTTATTTTCCACGGCATTTCTCAGCATTCAAGTCGGGACGCAGGATCGAAAATAAACTGTAACTCTGCCAAATTTCTGTCGTCTTTTGAAACCGCCGCGCTATTGTCAACATCGGCGGCAATTTCGACAGGCAGGCCTGGAGGATACTTACTTTAACCTGAGGACTGACTAAGTATAAAAGCGGATTGGCCCTGAGCCTCTCGCTCTCGTCGATCTGTCTGCGGATTTCCTCTCTCCTCATACTGCTCAGGATACTGACTTCTTCTCTTGATAACGGCGCTGTGGCCGTAAGTTGAATCGGCTGCGCTACGTCCGGCAGTGACTTCTTCCGTTGAAGTGGCATTGCCGCCGCCGGCATCGCCTGCACGGAAAAAATAAACGAGAAACAAAAAGAGAGAGATGGGCCTCGAACACGAATAATTATCGATGTGTACATCAATATATCTAAAGTCGTGTATCTAAAGTCGTGTATATAGTAATCAAACGGATAAGTATACAGCGGAAAGAGAAAAAGAATAAAACTATTATCAGGCAATAATAACGTACTTCTGGATGTACTTTTAATAAGGCGGGAGTAATATTAAGTCAACTAGTGAGGTGGAGGTTCAGTTAATTCGATCAAACATCATACTTTCAAAGTTTCCATTGTTCGAGAATCGGTTTCGTGAATATATAATGTGCATTAATCTATCGACACATTTGATCAAATTAAAATAATTTAATATTTACTTTATAAGATAAACTAATTTTCAAGACCAGTTTGAGCAAACTTGTGCACTATTTGAAAACTAATTCAATGTGTTTGTGCTGTACTCTTTGTAATTTTTCTTTTATATCAATACACCATCTCTGTAATTATAATAAATGTAAGCGAGTGTTTTTTTTTTAATCATTCGTGCAACTCGCGTAACGTCTGAACAGTTAGACAAGCTCTATTTTATTCTGCGAGATTTTTCCATTGAATTTTCAATCACTGTCTAAAGAAAGATCGTTAGTCTGAAATTAGTTAGCTGCCATCCTGGCAGCATTCTTCACGAAACCGATCCGAGCCGGAATTGTGTTAGTAAAATCCTGGGATCACTCGTTTTGTTAATTTGGCATTTTGTATAGGCTCAACGGGTGGGCGAGGAAACAGATAAAGTATTCCGACGACCGGAAGGGATCTTTGGAACCGTTCCAAAATCGAGGTTTCGAGTATTGTAATTGAGTATTGTAATTTGTAATGGTACAAGGGCAGAAGGTAGCCTAATTTCCATCGAAATGGTTCTTATATCGACCTTTGAGACGCGTTCTTAAATAAATAAATTCTTTCATAATATGTGGAAGAAAATATTTTCAATGAAATATTTTGCGGAACTAACAAAAAATTAACGTAAAGAATAATTTTTATTGTAACAATCTAGAACTATCATCATTTGTTTATCCGAGAATTCGCGTGTATATTACCACGACCGTTACGAGAAAATTCTGCATGCGCTCCGCAATCGTGAGATGAGATATTCTAAACGCGTTGCGTGGCAGTTATGCGGCGAGCTCGCCAAAAGTTGCATAATTGCGTACGCCAGATCGCGACAATATACATATAAATGTCGCGTATAATAAATTGCGGCACTGTAAACAGCTTTTTGTCGAGTAGCTTCGCATATCGCGCGTCCTTATTTCTCACGTGTAACCTTCTTAATGAGAATAGCAGTTAAACGACACGCATACTTTCCACGCGCCATATTTACGCAACCTATCGTATTTGCTGACCCTTTCCGATTATTACGCGTTTTACTCGTGACCCCTCGTCGTGTTGCACACTTCGTCGAGCGTGCGTTATCGCTAAGCACAGCTGATTCCATCGTAACCCTCGCAGCCACAAGCAAATAACGTTTTCCCCCGTTCGTTATCTATCGCACTAGTTTTTCTCCTCATCCACGCCATACGTTCTTGAGTAAAAAGAAAAAAACCCCGCTGCAGCCCGTCCTACGTGGACTTTCACGCGTTATTTAACTTGTGCCTGTCGTTAAAATGATGAAATGCAGGCTCGCTTTATGTACCTCCACGGGAGGTGCAACGATCCAGGACTCCGAAGCGCGCCTGGCCATCAGAGCAGGGCTGCATAGCAGCGCCTCCTCCTCTTCGTCAGGCTCGATCCAAAACATATTTCTGTTCTCACAATGATTCGCAGGTAGTCTCAAATCACTTTACGACCTTTCGGCTTTTAGACACCTACGGAGAAGATAATTGTTTCTGTTTGTATATGGCTTTTGTCGCGCTTCATTCTGAATCAATTTGCAAGTTTTTTTGAGTCCGACAAATCTTTATAATTAAATAAACTTACAGTTTGTGTCGTTGAACCGCATTGCTCAATGCGCTCAGTGACGATTGGAAAGAAAGAGTTTCCTTCTATTACAAGTATATGCTTAGTAATCGACTATTATTTGCAAACGAGATAAAGTCTGTTGCACTGTGAGTGAGTTTCACGATTAATCATTCAACTGTCGTTACATGGTCACTCTTGTTCGTCGATACGAAACCAAACTGGAATCGATACAACACTGTTCTCCTTAAAATTGCATTAATTCCGGGTTTATACCGGAAACAATTGTAGCCAGCTGGCGCTTCCGTTCACATCGGGCTCTTTCTCTCGACCGGCTCAGTCTTGTCGTCGCATTCGTAAATAAAATTTGTATGCGCTTATTGTTTGTTATTTTTTTTTTTTTAATGATTATCGTTGCGCGAAAGGGGGAAATCAAAGTGTGCATTACGGATCCGCAGCCTCCTGGTAAGGAAGCCGGGCCGCAGACTGAACGGCCCTGGCTAACACGACCGAAATAGAGCGACGCCCCACTATTTTCGAAATAACTTCACCGAGCGTCGCGACGCTTGTGGAGATTTGTACGGAGACGCTGCCAAAGGCCTGTCGATTCTTGCAGCTCCATGATGTACGGTCTCATAATAGCAGACGCGGTATGGAAAAAGAAACTTGGCCCATGTTGTTTAGTTTGCTGATACTTGGAAATCACTCGACTTCGTCCGAGACACTCTTCTCCTTCAATTTTTACATTTTTATTCTTAAATTTTTCCGTAATAATTTCTTGAATTTAAAGTTAAATTTTTTTCGTGAAATTTAATGCGCAATGCGTTAATTGTGGAACAGTCTTATGCAAATCACGTTGAAATCTAGTCTCGAATTACTTGACTCATACGTTTGGCATGTGAATAAATCCGACCAGAATTTCGGGATTTTCTCGCGCCAAGAAAAGATCCGTCCCACTTATTTGCAATTTCTTTGTCTGTTATTTACCGCATTGCGTGGCGCATTTGACGCTGCAGTTTGGTTGGATGCATCCGCATCAGCGGAAGTAATTCGACTAACGGAGTGTAACATTAATTATCTTGATCTAATCGTGACCTAATTTCCTCAAGACTATTCTCATCATTAATCTGATTCAATTAATGCATGAACATGTAAGCATCATATTTTTTTTTTTTTCTGAATATAATTATATTTATTTCAATATCTACATTATTCGCGCTGAACCAGATTAACGTTGTCAATATTTCGAAAATGTTAAAAATTTCACGATATTTCTGCGGATTATATATAAATATATAAATCGTTTAGTCCACACTTCAAACTCGACAAATTGTAAGAAATGGTAATGAGGAAATTAATATTAATGCCGAAATTTCCATGACTCCATTTGCGAGCTGCATACAATCACACGACATATTATTGTTTGCGATTCTTCTTTCGTGAATCTCCATATTGCCTACAATTTCGACGGAGCCTATTTTTATATCGCACGCAACTTAGAATATTATTTATATTATTTTATTATGTATAATGCACATATAATACTTTGGCAATCATTAATTGTTTTTCAACGTCCGACAGTTTTATAACAGTATTTATAAACCTTGATGAGAACGAGATCAGTGATTAATAATTATTAATCTTTCTGATAAAAAAAACAATGAAGAGAGACAGTAACAAGTCCGGTTTACGCGATGCTCTTTAATTTGTCATCAGCAACAGCTTATACATGATATACATAAATACATTCAATACATCGAATCAACGTTTGGAATGTTGTTATTTTGCTGACTGAAAATTTGTACAATTTCTACATTAAGATCAATCTTCTCTGGAATCTGGAAATTTCCTGGAATACTGTTATACATCATCTCTATTTCCATCTTTTTCATTTGGTCTTCTATATCTACATCGCTAAGTGTCTAGAAATAATTGTGCATTATCTAACATCTTCAAAAAAAAAACGTAATCACTCGATTCATTAAATATTTAAAAAAGCTCTCGTAACGTTAAATAAAAGAATACATTTTTCGCAAGATTGGCACTTAAGTGCGAGATTAAGAAATGTACCACTTTCACGTTGACATAGTGTAATTTCTCTTGTAATTTCTCTTTCCGAACAGTCGCGCGGTATTATTGAAAATTCATCATAAGCGAGTAATTTTTGAACACATGGGTAGATTAACGACTTAAGTCAGAATTCAACTGTTTGGGAATGTTGCATTTAAAATTGCATTTACGCGCTATTGCGTTTTATTCGCACAAATCATAAATTCTAATTTCTCGTCGCTTTCTTCTTTCTTTTTTTGTCGCAACTGTCGTTATTGTCGAAATTGTGATTTGTGACTTAAGATGTTAATGTACATATCTTAAAAATTGTTAAATCGGTCCTGTATGAAAATAGTGAGTATTTATAGTTTAATTAAACTTCAAAGTATCTTGTTACACGCTTGTTTGTGCGATTCTCAGTAATTTCTATCGATTAGAATTTCGTATTCCGATTATATAGATTTTTTAACGATTAGGCTCCGTAGCAGATGTTGTCAGCAAAATCATTGACGTTATTGTTCTTAATCTTATTAACGTGCATGATTTCGCCGTGTTATCTGTACATAAATTCAAGTATTAGTCTTATTTATACGGAATGCATTTGGTATGCAATCTGGACGTTTTTACGCGTAAAGAATAGACGGCGTATAAATATACTTAACACAGGCGATCGTAAAAATTGCATTTCCATTTCTCTCGCGTTCCTTCTCTTCCTTTTCATTTCTCGTCATATATAAAATAAGTTCTCGCATTCTCGGCACATATCTTTCTACGCGTTAATAGTGGGCGGCAAAATATTCGTATGCGTGCGCGACGTGTATGAAACAAATAACATACTACACAATGTAACGCGCATATGTACATTAGAAACTGGCACGGCGATTAATATCATAGATTTAATTCAGATTTTGCGTGCTTAAGGCTCGTTTCGTATCGAACGTCCCTCTTTCGAGGCGATTACTTTCATTTTATCAAGTCTCCATCTGCACATCAATATGTATATAGGCTCAAATTCACGACATCGTACAAGCATGCGTTAGAAAAATGTTTCCAATCAGAAAATAAGAAAAAAAAGCGGCATGGAGGCGGTGGATAAGAGAATATCTCATGAAACTCGCCTGAACGCTTGCAATCTCTCGATTATTACGCAGTAATAACGATTAAGTAGTCTCTGCGTGTAATAGCGATAATAATAAATTGAATAAAACTTGATCGAGAGAATTTGAACACAGAAAGGTAAAACGGGACTAACAATATCTGAGAGTGGGTACAAATCGAGCGGTATCGATCGTAGTAAACTAACAATAAGCAAATAATCTAGGTGAGGTAGGTAGCGAATGAGTTCGGAAGAAAGGGATCGAAAGAGATTTCAAATATGACTAAAAAGAAGGTTAAAATAGAATCGAAGAGCAAAAATGGTCCCCGCCTCCACTCCGCGCGCTTACCTTCCGAAGCTCGTTAATTAGCTTGGTTAATGGATGCAATATCGTGTGTTGGTTTTAGCTTCGCGCATATATACGTGCTCGTGTATGTGCGCATCCCATTGACGCAAAAACTTGTATTTGTTCGCGAGAAATGGAATGTCACGTGTCTAGTTGCAAATGGGATTTGTTCACTTTTTAAACTGCTTTATAAAGCGAAAAGTCAACTTGCGTATCATTCCGATTTAGCATAGTCGTTTCTGTGCAAATATCTATGCATATAAGTACATCGTATATCTCCGCGTCTACACAGCCACTCTGTTTATATTTGTCTATACGGTTAAACTTTTGCGCGAATTTACCATCACGCTTAATTAATGTACCGAACGAGAAACTAAATCGAAGGACATTTAATAGTCTCTTTTTGCTAAAAGGAACTGTACAGTGTTACATTATTGTTCGTTGACTGGTCCGTCGATGATTTCGCATGTTATCCAACGATGTAGATCGTATTTCGAATCGATACAATATACGTTTTCAAGCTCAGTTTGCCCATCCTACAGATTGCTCTCGCGTATTATCCTGTTTCTCTATAATGTTTCCCATGTCAACATACACAATCCTTTTTCTCCATCAAGACGAAACACGATCTAAGATATTTTGAAATCTTTAATTCTACTATTTATTTTGGCTATATTTTCATCATTGTTTGTTTAATCCTGGAATGGATTTATGCTCTCTATCGATCATTGCAATGAGTAAAACGAAATATGCTGTACTTTGCAACACGTTGTGCAAGCAGCAAGGTATTTGCATTAGTCATAAACGCTATTGTTAGACTGAAATACAATCACGGGTTCATTCCAAGATTAACATCCATGATCAAATTTGCGGTAACTCTAGATTGTTCGCATGACTAGATGGCGATTCGTGTCGCTCACCAACGCTTACAGTGTTTCCATAGAAAAATAAATTTGTCTTCCATAAATATGCATCGCTCGCTTCGAATACGCTTTCTTTGACCGCGGCTCTATCAATGAGCGTTTTATCACTTAATATTGCGGCAAAGTTAACAGCTAATAGCAATCTACACCAGGTACACAAGTGCCTCTCCCATCAAGCGTCTCACAACGTAGCACGAACATGACTTTTCACGAAAAATGATTGTTATTGAAAAATCCTCTCATTTTCGTATAAGGCCCCACTCTGAAAACCTACATTTTCGACATAAGTCAAGTATAACAAACGCGAAACGCGTAAGCTCCGACGAGTTCAATGAGAATCGAACGAGTCGATTCCGCTAGCGGGCCTGCATAGCTGCATTACCCATAATTTATTATGTAAATATCGTTCAAGTTAATTGCACATGTTTATTAATCAATGCATATTTGTTAGTTAGATAGCATCAAACGTGTTGCGAAAGACTCGTAAATTCATAGAAAAATATCATCGATCTCCGGCGTGCGGAGTATTAAAGAAAGATTTCAGAAATGCGTGTATTAAAGACTGCCCCGGGATAGATTGATTATCAGAACTTAATTCCGAGGTGCGTTTGGTGTCGGGCGGAAATGTCAATCGGGATTGTGTTGCGATTTTCAGCTGATTTGGCTCGAAATGCGACGCGCGCGAGCCTTTCGGAAGCTGTCGTCTTTTTTTTTTTTTTTTTGTCTAATCTGCTATTGTACATCGCTTTGTATACATATTTTATACTTATACTTATAGGGTTGCGCGGCCCTTTGACGCTGCGGTGAAGGCGGGGACCGTCCGGTCTGCTTCCTGGGATGGCATGCACAGAACACAGCACAAAACGCCACACAGTTACACAGACAGACAAATAGAGACAGAGAAGAGAAGATACAAATAGATAAGGTAAGCTAGAGAGGTGAGAAAAATCTGAATGAGAAAAAACGGGGGGAAAAATGAGGGTGCGTAAAGAACGCAGGCGAGGTGCAAGAAATATACTAAGAAATGTAAAAAACATGGGGCGAGATGATAACACTCGAGTTATAAAAACAATTTCGTAATTGTTTCTATTCGCAGCAGAGTGATATACGAATGTAATATATTTTTGATAACGTAACGAAGATTTCTAGGGTAGTTCGGAGATTATATGTGGACGTATATGCATACAATCGATCGGACATTATGAATACTAGCTTATTATTCATAATTTCTAGCAGTATACATATCTATTTATCAAAATATGTCTCTACAACAATTAATAATACGTGTAATACGTGAAAAAAGAAACATCTAAATCTAGAAAAAATTGATATTTATCTAAGATTTAAGAAAATCTTGCAAACATGATGCAGTTTTGTCAAATCTATAGTTTGTTACTTTTATGTCTGCTGCAATGAAAAGTTTTATCTAATATTATTCTTGAAAATAATCGAGTATTCTCTTGTTTAACGCATAATGACCGATATTTTCGACGTCGGTTCTTGAAAGATATCTTGTTACGTTTCTTGGCGGAGCAAAGCCAAGCAAAGCGCTTCGCCAAATTGTATAATTTGTTTCCGAATCTTTGTAGTTCGCGAAAAATCTTTTAGAAAATATATCCGCGTAGGAAGTCAAAATTTATTTGAAAAACAAACATCACATTTTTTTGAACTAGATAAATACAGTAATATACTGTATTAAAAAGAGAACTGTGGGAGCATTTATTTTTTTAGAAATATCGGTGCAACACGCACGACTCGAATACAATGAATAATAATATTTGCATAAGTTAAATTTAATTAATTTAAATGTAGTCGGCGACGTCAATGCATGTGAGATCACATCCAATTCTTTTGGTAGAATTCTCTATTCTCTTTCCAACTTAAATCATTAACATCTCAGAGAACACGCATGCTTTATAGATATCTAAAAGACGTCTGAAAAAAATACGGTTTTTTAGATGTCTTTCAGATGTCTTTAAGACGTGTGTGTTGTCTGGAATATCTACAAATGCATATTCAAAAAATATGTGACCATAATTTTTAAAGGACAAGAATTTTTTTTCAAGACAAGTGCGAAGACGTCGTCGGTGCATAAGACGCGTATATGGGTCTACGTACGTTTGTGTACATGGCGAGAATATATGTATATATACATATATACAAGAATATATATATATGTATATGTACAACACATGGCAAAGAGCAAATGTGAGAAAATAAAGACTCACCTTCGGCATAACGCCACCACCACCGCCAATTCCCGACGGTACGCGAGCTACATAGAGACTCTCGGTGCGCTTAGGCTGTCCAGGACTCGGCAACATGTCTTGTCCAAGGCCACGATTCTTTATAAGTGCCCCTTCGAATTGGCTGGGAGTCGGTGCTGCGTAAGTCGGCGTCGCGGCTCCGCTGCCTACTACAGAGCCATTCAGCGGTGTTCCCCCTCGAATCGCGCTCGGAGCCCTCGTCGATCTATTGATCGCACCAAACAATTGTTTTTAACAATAAAAGTGGTTAACTAAAGGAAGACGCAAGCCTAGAATAATATTCGATTGCAGGGAGCAGAATAATATATTCCCGGTTAAAAGAATAAATTTGCATTGAGATGTATTGCCGGGCCATGCTACTCACCTGTCCGGGAGCATATCCGGAAGCGGATTCGATATGGTTTTGTCGACGGATGGCTGTCTTGATCTAGTTAACTGGGAATGCGCTCTAGCATAACGATCTACGGAACTGTCACGACTAGGTGGCCTCTTGTAGTGATCCAGTCTGCCGAGTGCAACATAACAATTGTTTCAAAACTTTATTTTATCACATAATTATAATTTCGTAAATAGGAACTTTAGAAACTTCTGAAACTTGCAAGAAACTATTTTATTTTTATAGTATTAATTGCGCTCAGACATGACTTCGAAGAAATCGAAGCTTGCGCAGTCAATATTCCGTGTTGAATATTACAAACTTTTAAATATTCTCAAGTATATCATTTGCATAAAAGATAAAAAGGTGTAAGAAAGGTTTTTAAACCTGTCGTTTAACGTTTGACTAATAATGCCAGGTCGATCCTGAGGACTCAGGACTCTACTGTTTCTTCGTAAGCTCGTGGAACTAGGCGGTCTCGCCGCATCCGCGATACCATCAGGCTGGTATTGTTGCGGTAGATGCGTTTGTTGCTGCGCGTACATCGGTTGCGAATTGTACTGATTCATCTGGCCGGACCCGTATTGGTTAGATATTGCCGTCTGAAATCAATTTTGCGTTGTTCTAGTGGACTCTCGCGAGAAACTTTAAATTAATCTTAATTGCAGAACAAATACATATGGATGCTGTTTGTATTTAAAAATTAATTCCTTCTTGTTTTTCAAAAATTTATAATATTTATAGTGTTTTAAAAGTTACATTTCTGAGGTGAAAGCAATGTTATGCTATAAACTCTCTTTATTATTGGTCTCAATTTATAACAACATTGGATTAGCGAAGGATTGTCGAGAAATCCTGTATTTGTTCAATGCACGTTGTTGGAGAACCAAAACCTACCAAAACTCTGCAGGCTTGCGAGTGTGACCGTTCGTAGTACACTCGATTGAAAATAAATAATGAATCTGTTTCGGCCATTAAGTCCAATAATCGTCAATTATTTGAAAGCAATATTTGAAAGTATTATTTGAAAATGAATTGTATTTCAGCTTCATAGTCATATTTAGAAAACGGGATATAAAAAAAAAAGTTTGTTAGATACTGGGGTGAAATTAAGCGCTCGATAATAATTAGTTATTATAATCGCCGTTAAAGCGCGTGTTAAGCAAATGAAATCAAATTTGCACGGAGAAACTTGTTGAGTCGCTTACGCTATAAAGCTGTGCTTCAAACTGATTCATTTGAGCTAACGTCATTGGATCGCATATAACCGACGGTTGCGGAGGCAAGATCTAAAAAGAAACAGAGAGAGACACGGCATTGGCGCGAGCATACAAAAGCACTTTGTAAATCAGCGATGGTAATCGAATATTGCGAAAGCTGCGCACGCGAGAGAGCCAACGGAAAAAGGCAAAAAAGGCAAGATGAAACGAGAGCAATGCCGCGAGCTGAGTCACCTGCTGATTCGAATAAGCCTGCAAGTTTTGGAAGCCGTGCGGCTCGATTGGTTGTTGTTGTTGTTGTTGTTGCTGCTGATAATCGGAATACTGATCAACCTGTATTGGATTAGCTGGCTGATACTGCGACTGGTACGAACTGCTCTGGATGAGCTGGTTCTGGCCGTATTGGTTCGGTTGGTACTGGTTCGGTTGGTACTGGTTCGGTTGGTACTGATTCGGTATGCTGTTCGGATACTGATTCTGAATCGGATTTTGCGGGTACTGCTGATACGGATTTTGACCGGTCAGAGAGGTCTGCATGTTCAGCTGATTCATGGGCACCTGATTCGCCAGCGAGCCAGGCTGCACTTGGTTCGGTATCTGATTCTGCATCGGCGGCAGCTGGTTCTGCGGCAACAGCTTCATGCTGGATCTTCGTATCGATTGCATCACGCTGCTGGCGGTGGTGTTCGCCGCGGACGCTGGCGTCGCGTTCGCCGTCGTCGTCGTCGCTGTCGTCATGGAATCGGCGGTCGACGAGATGCTCTTGATCGGCGTGCCGCCGGGCTGGTCCACGCTGGCCGCCTTGTGCAGGATGCTTTTGCCAGGCAGGGAATCTTGCGGCGGTGGCACGTACTTGGGTGGTCGCAATCTCTCCAAACCCGGCTGCCGGAAATCCGGTGCGAATTGCCTCGCCGTTTGTTGCGCCAACTCGGAATCTTCTCGGGCGTGTTCAGCGGCGATGTCAGCCAATTCCGCCTTTCCTCGCGCCGTCGCCGTTCTGGAGATCGCAATGTCGGCTTTCTGCAGGGCGATCTTGCTCGCCCTTTGAGCGGCGTTCACCGCCGCCTCGATTCTCTCACGGAATTTCGCCGATCTGATCAGGAAGAGGTGTTTCTTTTTTTGACTAGTGATGAGCACGTTATTCTTGTATTTCCCCTCTTCTTTGCTGCCGTCGCGGAACGTGGTGACGCCGTAGCCGTACTTGCGATTGTTGAACCACTCGCCCTCATATCGCAGCCCATCGCTTCTCTCGGATATGCCGAAGCCGGTCCGTTTGTCGTTTTTCCATTCGCCTAGATACGTCTCGGTTACCGACGCGTCCATCTGTTCGTCCTGCGAATCGACAGCATACAATTAACTACCGCATTCAGTGAATTTTTTTAGTTCCTTTCATTATTTTCAAACCGCGATCCACAAACTAACAAACGCGCCTCTTAAATCTGAGCAGATTCCACGGTCGCGGAGAGCAAAATAACAATCCGATTACGGTCTTGTCGCGAGGAAGCTGAGAGAAACTAAGTACCGTGACCCACCTCGATGACAAAGGACGCATTACTGTCTGTGTGAACCGACGCCGACGCTTGACTCTGTGAGCTCTCGGTCGACATCCACGACGCCGAGCTGGCATTGCTCCTAATACTGCCGCCGGTGCCGCGCTTCTCCAAATCCCCCGTACTCCTTTGCTTCCGTATCTTGAGACCCTGCATCGAGAGAAAATTCTTCTAGATAATGCCTCTATTTCCGCTAAGTGCTTTGCAAATGATATCCCGCTGCTCGCGAGAAACGCCTTACCGAGAGAATGCCCTTTTTCAAAGATTTTTCAGTAAGACTCTTTCTTCTGGCGGGAGGATCGTCGCTTCTCGCTTTCAAGACGAATCCTCCTCGGCTGTCGTCCACGCGACGATCTCTCCTGTCGGTGGGTTCTGGCGTGGGGGCAACTAGCGGTCCTCCGTCAGCACTCCTTAACGACGTCAAGGACGCCCTTACTTGTTTCGGAGGTTTGTAATGACTCGCCAGTCCGAATGGCGCACTCGCCCTCACCCCGTATCCGTGCCGCATGCCGCGAAGCCATTGGCCTTGATAAGTACCTTAAAAGAAAAATAAATCATCGATGTAATTTATAAAGACAGAAACGATGATGAAAATGGCACGTTTCACCGGTGAATTATATACCACTCTGTCCATTAGGGCTAATGAAATAATTTCCATGCGCTTAACATAAATCTCTTTACGTGACTTAATATACATTATTCAAAGGCTCCTCTGAAGTAATGGAATTGTTAAAATCAAATTGTTACTGTTCGGTAACGAAAAACAGCGTCTTTGTGAAGGTTAACACTTTTGGAGGAATCGAGCGGAAGCGTGAGATGCAAAAAGTTCGCCGACACGATACAAGAAGATGCGCGTCAGTCGATTACGATGAATTCCCCAGGGGGGTGCTCGGCAGTAAGACATATTGTTTTTGCCAAAACGTGACCGTGTTTCAAAATGTCTCGCGTGAGTCACGACATGCGAGTCGAGCGGTTACGCGCGCCCTGCTCAAGGATGGAATGCGTCCGGTACACGTGTGGGTGCATGCTTTTTCGGAGAACGTGCGAATTCTGAATCGATGAAAAACCATCGGAAAGACCGGATGTGCATCATACTGAAATAAAAGTTGCGGCGCGCGATAGCATGAGAAAAGTGTAAGATCGTGCGCACAGCAGAGAAAATATTAAAAGTAGGAAAATAAATAATAAATATTGTAAGAATGGGAATTGCAAAATGGAAATTATCGATGGAACTTGGCGTTTTATTGCGCACATTGAAAGCGTAATCTGTTCTTTCAAAGGAATATTATTCGTAGGAATATTATTCCACTCCTCATTGAATAGCTTGTGCTTGGACAAGGTATTGCGACTGTAGCGAAAAGTTTCGGACGACAACGTTTATTGACATGCAAACCAAGTAACTCGAATGCGCCGCAACGACGCGTCGACGTTTGGGCCGCACCGAGATGCATCATGCTTTTCTTTTCAATCCTCAATGTAGTTTCAGACGCGAATGTCGCCATACAACTGTTGCCATTAAATTCAGATAAGATATTTCTTGAATTCTTAACTTTATTTTTTCATCTTTAATAAGTTCCATTGTCAGTAAAGTTCTAACGAAACGAGAAAAGTATTATTGTATTAAATTGTAATTAATATTGTATTAAAGAAGACATAAAAAATGTATTTATGTTAGTAAAACTAATATCAAGTCAATATTGAAAATTTAAAAGATTTTCCCGATTTGAGGTCTTTTATCACAAATTTTCAAAGTCACTCGCAAATTTAATTCGTCAAGGAATCTGTCATTAGCAGACACGGCGATATTGGCGGGATACCCTATATATGGCGACGCCAGGCGTCTCCCCTCTTCGCGACGTCGGAATATTATTTCACTAGCGTTTAAGCAAGTGGGTCAGACGGCGGTTCCCGGTGCTCACGCCAATGTACACGAACCTTCGGAATTGCTACCGCGGCGGCGACCGTGCCAGTTTGAATGCATACCGTTCGTTTTCAATTAATTTTTAGGCACGGTCGCGAGCCGTGAAAAGCGCGCAGACATACGTATGTGTGTGTATGTATGTATGAGCGTAAACGCGTTCGAATGTTCAAATATTACATTCCTCGAGTATTCATGGCAGTGAAATGTTCCTGCACTATAGATTCTGCGGGGTAATGAATTTCCACTCGGTAATTTCTCAAAAAGACTCACACGTGCATTATTATGCTTCAAATTATTTTTATGGCTTGCCTCCTTAGGAAGTTGCTTCGTAACTTTCACATTCAAAGATGTTCTTTTTTACTTATAAAAGTCCAATTACTTTGCTGCTTCTTTCGTTTTCTATTTCATCTCTGAGATAAACACACAATGCGCATATAAATTCATCTTACATTTACATATATTTCTCTTATTAGTTTCAGGTTTAAAAACACGTTTGTTTACTCCGTTGTTTTCCATCGTTATAAGTGATTATTATTTTCTACGTTAACGTACAGCTACTTTGTACAAACCTCGCTCGCGTTATCGAGGTCAGTTCGGCTTTTTAAAGACAATTCGACACGAAATATCTCGTTGTCCGCAGGAATCTTAACGAATTTCAAGCAGACACCTCGACATGATCATCGACACGCCCGAGAAAGAGATGTTAATACCGAATGGCACTATATAATACCGCGGAAAAGTGGATTGCGCCATCATGTATCGATTCGCGTACCCGTCAGCAACGACCCAGATTAATTATTATCGAGCTTCTAATTCTCCCCATGAATTTGCGTCGTAACTTTCTCGCTAAAAACAATCTTTTCATAAATAAGTAACTCTACACACACACACATCAATTATTTTTCAACAATGTAGATTACTGAAAAGTTCCTTTTCGTTCAATTGTGCGAATCAATTATGAATTCGCCGATGTGTCTTATTTCACCTCGTTATTTAATTACTTAACGATATCTATTCAAGTGCCATTATTTGAATAAACTTTTATCAAATATTTAATACAACGTTTTATTTTATAAGTTGTATTAAACCGGACGCTTTTGCATTTATTACACTTAGCGCGACAAGTATGGGACGATCGATAGTCCGTAGAAATTTTCACATTTCCCAAGAGACTACTCGCGAGTATGGTCGGGTTTAACAAAACGAATTTAACATGGGGTACAGGGATCATCCTGACACATCCTGTCTGTCATGTAGGAAACATGGAAGAAAAGGTTTTAATCCAATTAGAGCGCGGTTTTCGCTTGTTGATATCCATCGCGATAATTGTCGGAGAACTTTGCGCTGCGAAATTTAGCATCTGCCAATCATCCATCGATGCGTTTGCCTCTCTTTTAAAACGCAGCGGAAAATATTCGGGTACAAACGATTGGGTTTTATGTGTGACAGATTAAACGAGGAAGAATGACTGTAAGAACAATCTATACAGGGTGAACCAAGCGCACCACACGGCCCTAATTCGCTACATGGCACTGGCTAGCCCGCTTGAAATAGCGCGACCATCTTCCGAGATGGTGGTCGGTTACACGTGCAACGGGACACATCTCGGTGTTGGTGAGAATTGGCCGTGCGTATTTCGGTCCGCAGCCTCCACCGGATCGTCACAAACCACCCTAACAGGTCTCTCGGTCGTCTATCTTTTATATGTGTCCTCCTACGCGGAAAGTCCTAGGAAAATCTTGAAAAAAAATGTCTTTGATGCATTCATCCATCTACTTTTATGTTACCACATGTATTCCGCGAAGAAAGTTTGCACAAGGGTTTCTCAACTTGTTTCGAGTTTAAAGTTTGTCGAAATCGTTATCATGCAGAGCGCTCCAAAAATCACAACTTAAATGAGAGATTTTTTTATGATTTTAAAGTTGATTTTTGCTTAGCAAAAATGTTGAGAAAATACATCGTTTATTGTAGCTTCTTAATTTTTAACGTCATGTGTCTTTGTGATTAAACTTTAAATTAAAATTCTTTTAAAGAAAACTCTACTAACAATAAGTTAAACGAAAGAATGGCTTTGTCCATTTGTCCTTTTGAAGCTAATTATTAATTTGCGAAAAGATTTTCTTCTTCAATCATTTATAATTCAGAAACTATCCGTGTTTTGATATTTTTTTGAGAAATATTTTTATAAAAGCAATAATTTTTATTAGCACTATTTGCTGTTTTAATTAACAAATTATTTGGTGTTTCAGATGCAGCAAATGCACTTCCTGCGAATTGAGCAGTTGCTGCCGGAGGTTCAGGCAAGCAGGATCGGTTTGAAGGTAAGTTTTATATCTATTTTATCATATAATTAAAATTGAGTCAGTTTATACGTAATTAAGTATTTGCAGTTAGATATATATATATATAATGCGCGCGCGTATGCGTATATGTATATATAATTTAATAAATTGCAAGTGAGACGCTTTGAGTTGAATAACGTGAGATGATGTGACGCAGATAGACAACTGGATCACTTCTGGACATTTGTTCAACTGCAATTGCAGCGGAAGATACATCGGTGGACATCGAGGGACGTGCAACATGGTGAGTGCTAATTTTAATTAATTTTGCAATTAGTTTGTTCTTTTTTAGTTATATTTTTTTACACTAAAATATATTATGCACTAAAATGGATAGAACTTAGTGTATAGTTGGAAAAAAAACATTATATCGCATATGTAGTAGTCACAATGTTTAGAATAATTGTGCGTGCGCGCGCGCGCACTGATTTCAGACGGGAAAAATAAAAACAAATATGCATTATTAAATTGGCAATTATCACACGAAATAAGACAAATTTAGTTGCAATTTATAAAACTATGACTTTTTCGCTCTTTAAATGACATTATTTATCAATTAACGAAAAATATAAACTATGTTGCCTTTATTTAAAAAGTAAAAACATTTTCGGTTAGCTTGCAATTCTATTTACACTATTGTTCTATACAATATCATCTATTTGTTGATTATTAAGCATGACATGTGATTCTCTATTATGTAGCTTAAGTTTATTGATTATTGTGTTGTCTCGCTTTTTAAACAACGTGCGGTATCAATTCGCGCGGACTGCGAAATTAAATTGTTTCTATATATTCTTTGGATATTGCGCTGAAAGGATTATATATTAAATCCGTTTATGTTGATCGGTATTTAATGGACAATTAATGAACAAATGAACTATTTTTACGCAAGTGATATAAGAATGTGGCAAACTATGCGCATATTATTATAATTATTCAAGAGATATATTTAGTATATTTCGTTAAAGGAATGCTAAATTTAAGGGAAACAAAAGTGCTCGTTAAATGATTATGAAGATATCAACTTGGCATGTAATATTTGTGCGTTAAAATATCTCAAATACTACTCTCATATTTTTCATGTTGTCATTATTTAGACACAAGTGTATTTTTCCAAGTTAGATCTCTATCCATTTTTTCTTTTTATGTCGTACATTTTTTTCCAGTTCTTTCATCTTTCCAGTCTCTTTACAATTCTTTCATATTTGATTTTTCCCGCTCTGTAATTTCTCAATCCTTATTTGTTCTTTCCTATGCATCTTGGTTTTCTTCTCGACTCCTTTCTATTTGTCATTTTTTACATCCGTTAGTATCACTCAGCTGCCATGCTCAATTCTTCCAATGTAACTATGAAAACGTTTGACGTTTGACGTAATAAACCGTCGCATCGAATAGACGCAGAGATCTTATTTATCCGAATGCAACCTGTTATAAAAGGAATGCTAAATTTAAGGGAAACAAAAGTGCTCGTTAAATGATTATGCGATGAAGACGTATCAATTTGACATGTAATATTTTTGCGTCAAAGCCATTTTCTTTCTCAATCGATCATCTTGAAATTGATTTATTTTTTTGAGAGATTTTAATTTAAAAATTTATTGAAAAATGTATCTTATTTCAAGACGTATTAGAAAACATTTATAATATTATAAACTGCTCTTATGAGATTAATCAATTAAATAAGGTATTAATTTAAGAAATTTATCTAATTCATATAAGTTTATGGCGTAATTCGTACTGGATTAAGTTTACGTTAACAAAAATATTGAGAAATAGTTCATTTTGAGAAATAGTAGGTTATTTTTTTATTGATCGCAATATTCGTACATCGTATGTAGCTTCGATCCGAGCATCACGCATGCTACGTGTTTAGCTATTCATCGGGTTGCGAGGTTAGTACGATAACAAAGTAGCATACTTCTTCGCCGGACTGACATTGGAATTTTTGCAAATATTTGCACGCTACTTCCATAAATGCTCGGAAAATAAAATCTACTTTTAAAATACCCCATCTTGTATTACGAGTTATGAAATATCTTGTAATAAATAATTTTGAAATTTTTAGTTGATGATTGGATTTGGTTTTCAAACTCCATTACAACTTTGACAAACAAATATTCAATTCACGTGTTAATTAGATTGCCTGACAGAGAAAAGTGTGCTGTGGCATAGAATTTTTATGTTTTCATTAAAAATTGATCCATTCTATCTTACGTACTATTATCTTTAGATTCATAACTGTCCCTGACACTAATTAAACACGGTTTAAAATTCGTCATGGTCTTTTTTACACGCGATTAGCGCGGGGGTTCCTTCTATGACGTAAGATGTGTGACGCTAAGAAAAATCAGGAATAACAGCTGAGCCGTGTAAAGTAGGTAAAAGTGGTTCATCAAGGTAACCCACGCCAGTATAATATTAACAGCTTCATATCCCGTTTACGTCGTCATTCTGTATTTGCATAAAGGGTTGCAGCACGTTCACTGAGGGCAAAAAAAAAAAGTAGATTACTCGGTCTTTTTATTACTCGCGCGTGAAATTATTCAGTTCTTCGTCCTGCTTGTTTTTTCTCCATACAATGCAAAACGAGGCGTCGTTCTCATTGTGACAATGTGACGACCCAGTCGTTTATGTAATGCGGCGCTTAATTATGCGTCAAGCTACCGGACAATTCGGACGATATAACTCGACTGCATTCCCGAGGGTGCTCTTCTTTTCTGTACTGTTCCTTTCTCTGTCGATTGTCATATTGTCGATTATGCTTGCGAAAGTCTCGTTGAGACACAATTCGTATATCAAATTTTACGTCGTTTTATGACTTGGAAGTAGCAGGAGCGTTTTGCACAGAGATGTAAGACATAATTCTTCTTGTTAAGTCGCAGAGTGATCTCGGTTCTAGCCGTGTTAAGATATCGATCAATTTATTTTCTCGATGTTCTTTTCTTTCACGACGATGTCTTTTCCCGTCTTCTACGGTCTAATTAAATCTCGAGCGTCGCGTCGAACGATTGTGTCGCGCAACTTTCGCCGCGGGTGTTCGACATTCTCCCGAAACGATTATTGATTCATAAATGATCCGGCAGAACTATGTGTTGTACAGTGACGGCCATAATTTCGCGCGCGACGCGACGCGAAGATGAAAGCGCGCATTCTATCGCGAGGGATCGCGGCTAAGTCACGGGCAGTTTATCAGGAAGGCGTGGATGGCGTTCAAGAAGTCTATTAAACACGAGGGTCTGGAGATTGATATGGGTGGGTGAAGAGAGGAGGGAAGGGGAAGAGCATCGACGTGTTGTTGCACATCTACCCTCTTTCCTCCGCACGCGATCGACAGCGAGTTCTCGCGCGCTTGCACCGACGCGCAAGCGTCGGCGTCGGTATTTATAAATAAATACCTCGGCCACGTGCCACGGGTGAAATGGAATGGCGTTCGGAAAGTGCTTTAATTCGATCAAGAAGCTTAAAACACGTATACCGATATGTATGCGGCGGAAAGAACGGGCGGAAGAGGCATCGACGTGGATCGCGAAGAGGTACGCGGGAGAGGAAAAACAACATGCTTATAAATTATTTTCTTTAAACGCGCAATAACGCAGTCGCTCTCTTTATATATTCGAGCTGCGGAAGAAATGACGGCGAGATTTTATATTTTCAATCCCCGCGCGATGAATCATTCGTCCATTCATATTTCTAGAGCGTTTCAAAGAAATTGTACGAATGATGTATCGCAATAGATGGTAGCACTCATGGTAGCGAAATATAGACTTGCGAATATAGTATATCTCTTGAGACATCTAGTCTGAGAACTTGATTCTTAAGCGCCACGTGTTCGCACGATCCTCTCAGATGAAACTCCGAGCTCCGAGAGAAAAAGAGGAGTGATGGCCCAGCGAAAAGAATCGAGTCAAATACCTGCAATCTTGCTCAGTTTTATTTATCGCTCGTGTACCGAAATACGATACTTTTGCTTCCACAAATATCTCTAACCTCGAGACTTTTAATTAAGAATGATAATTACGCGCGCGCGCACGCGTGTTGGTCCTCGATTCTCCGATAAATCTCGACGGTTACTTCTCTTCGTCGTTTACGGTACCGATAGGACGACGTTTATCATGCTGACAGCAGTTCCAGACATTTCACACATTTTTCGGACGTCGTTAAGAGCATGCGAGTATGTTAATTTGCGCCTACGGACATTCCGGCATTAAATAACTTTCGGAAGTGTAGTCACGGTTTGAACATGCATTTTTATACGCTGATGGCTCTCTGTGATTAAGAGGAGGTTTCCTTCAGATAAGCAACGGCACGGACATTGCGAGAAGTGGCACATTTTGTAATTATATTGATTCCAGATTTATATTTTATAGCGGACTGCAGAAATTCGCAATAGTGGGGACAATTGTATTTCTATGAAATGAAAAGTATTATCGTTGCGTAACGCTTATGTAATTTATTCGATGCATTCTAGCGACTGTGAAGCGAAGCAATCGAACAACAAGTGTAGACTTCAGTTTAAATTTTCGCGAAACAAAATTCGAGAATCAGAAACTTGTAATACGATATACTGCAAGATTTTTTTGGATTATATAAAATCGAGCCAATTTACCTCGTTCGAACGTCGAAACATAAACCTGATATTTGAAACTACGTATTGCCGACAGGATCATATTGACGTCAAAGATACATAGCGAGATATAAATCGCCGATATTTACACGATCGTCGACGTGTTTGCATCCGGTTTAACGTGTCGCATCTCGTATGTGTCAAAAAATTTAAAAAAGGGCACGCGCTAAAAATATTTCGAAACATTTAGAACATACGCTCTTTTACGTACTCTTTTTTTTCATGTTTAGTCCTATTTTCATTTATATATTTTCTCTATTGTGTGCACGGTTTAAGATGACAAAAAGATATTTTTAACTAAAATATGCCAGAAATATTTGGACAGAAGATTCGAGGGAATGAAGAGTGAAAAGAATTTGTATCGCTAAATGAGCGCTAGAAATATCCACGTTGATGTAATTTTGAGGAGGGCATAAAAGAAATCACAGCGTTACGACTGTAGTTGCGAGCAATGGGAGGGCGAATGGGAGGATAGAGATTTTATTTCATTGCAGAAACTACGCGACGCGCCGGTAAAAGCGGCGGGTGGGGGGTGGGCAAACCGTGGGCGACCTTGACCCGCAGCGGAGAAGTTCAAACCAGAAGGTGAACCAACCGGGGCCTTCGCGGAAAAGTTGGGCGCGCCCGCGCGCCATAGTAGGTGGGAACTGTCGTCGTGTTTATGTGGACTCGCCCTTTTCCACGCGATGCGCATACACGTGCTGCACCTTGCTCATCCAACTCTTCCCCACCTCCCCCCCCTCTGCTTTATCGTGCATCACGTCATCGCGTTTTGGTTGTTAAAGTGACTTAATTTCCGAAAATTTTTTATAAAATATACTAAAGTAAACATGTAATTTTATAGGTTTACTTTATAGAGACTTATTTTTTTCTTTCAAAGATAAAATTACACTTTTCGTAATTTCTCATAATAGATTTTTAATAATAAAATACTTTGCATGTGCTTGCGTTCAATTCGCGCATGTTTGAAAACTTTACAGGGCTGATTTTACCCCGAAAGATAAACCTTAAATAGATCTAATGATTTGTGAAGTAAATGAGTTTGGTAAACTCGATGATAAATTGATCGTAACCAATTATAGGCAGAAAGAGAGAGGGAGTTCAAATATTAAAGAATGTGTGTGCGCGCATGTATGTTGATTCATGTTTTGTACGCTAAATTTATTAAATTAATGAACTCTATCTATCTACAGGAATTAAATTATTCTTTTATACCCGAGTTCTCTAATTTATTATTATTCTAATTTATTATTTTATTATACACAATTAAAGTAATTACTCAATTAAATATTGCCACGTTTCACTCTAATTTATTACTATTCTTCTTAATTATAATTTTTAAAAGATTAAGCTCATCAAGCTCATTAGATGCACCTCAGAAGTTATAGCTTTATAAAAGTTGAGCTTATTTACGAAAGTAAAATTACACTTTTGTAATTTATTAAATCACCGACACACGTGGCTTATATTAATAATATTATTTTAGTAGATTGTGTAATTGCACGAATAGTTGACAATAAGACGCTCATTTTGTGCTTTGAAAGGATCAAGATGATACATTGTTCGGAAAATTATTCACTTAGCTCGTGCTTATTCATTTTTCTTGCGAAGCGTAGCTAAACGTGATGCACATTGTACCAGCGGGCGTATGTAAATCGTGTTCGTCCGCGATAAATGTCCCGACATCCGGTCGATTCACGATAGGAAACTGCTGCGGCTCTTCTGTCGATTCAGTACTATGTCGAAATAGCACTTTACTTTGTTGCAAAAAGGAGGAAGAGAACACGAGAGAGAGAGAGAGAGAGAGAGAGAGAGAGAGAGAGAGGAGAGAGGGGA